CCTTCAGGCACCATGTTTAGCACACCTCCCTTGCTTTGCAGCTAGAGTCCTCACTTTAGTTAAGAGTCTTACTCTCTAAACCATGAGTCAGCAACCCATGGCTCTGGAGCTGCATGTGGCTCTTCCATCCCTCTGCTGTGGCTCCCTGTCGCCGGTGGGCTCCACAATTGATAGGGCTTTCAGTTAGGACATAGAGAGGAAAGAGGTGTCGCACTAGGATGAGACTCTTATGGTGGGGGAAACGGACTTCCAGTCAGCTCCAGAACTGAACTTCTGTTTACGACCTTTGTGGCTCTTTGAGTGTTTAAGGTTGCTGATGGACCTGAGTCCAGTCTTTGGGATCTGCAGGTAAGATTTAATCTCTGGACTGTTACTTCCTGTGTTAAATTGGTAATAAACTAGATAGGCCAATGGCTTGATTCATTCTTCCAAGAAGTATTGATAAGTGTATATGAAAGAGAAGACTATGAAGACCCATACTATCAATTTGCATGTTCAGGGAATGTGCTACAAAACAGGAAATAATATTGTAACCAGATGTTTTTTCTACGCCTAGGAATCACTCTTAGTTCTGCATTTAGTCCACAGAAAAAGTCTAAAAACATACCTAACATTAAATTGTTTGGGTATATTTAAAAAAATGGATTCACCTTCATAGACATAGTCCTTGACTTACAACCACAACTGAGTCCAAAACTTCTTTTGCTAAGCAAGACAGTTAAGTGAATTTTACCCCTTTTTATGACCTTTCTTGTTAAGCTGTTAAGTGAATCGCTGCAACTGTTAAGTTAGTAACACGGTTATTAAACGAATCTGGCTTCCCCATTGACTTCGCTTGTCAGAATGTTGCAAAAGGTGATAGATCACACGACCCCAGAACACTGCAACCATCATAAATACGTACATACAAGTTGTCAAGTGACCGAATTTTGATCAGATGACCACAAGGATGTTGCAAACGTCATGTGTGAAAAATGGTCATAAGTCACTTTTTTAAAATGCTGTTGTAACTTTCAGTGGTCACTAAATGAATGGTTATAAGTCAAGGACTACCGATATTTCCTACTCACTTCAATATTCAGGCTTTACATTGATTTACAATGTTAGTCTGCAGGTACAGGACAGAATCAGTGAGTTCTTTCTCTAGTTCCCAGTAAATGTAACCACTTTGCAGAACATGTTTCACCTATTTTCCCCCCCAAGAACTTTTTATTTTACTTTTTAAAGTTTGAATATTGCCTTTCGAAATCTGGTTTCTCTAAGATGGCCACTGAGTTTTCCTTTATGGGTGAAGAGTTTCAGTGTATTACTGTCCAAACTTTAAAGGATGCCTTTAGAATCTTCGATATGGAACAATGTATTGCTGAACTACAGTTCCTAGCAGTCTTTGTATACTTAATAGTGAGAGATACTGGTTACTCTAGCCCTAGCAACATTTAGAAGGCTTTTTAGTTATTAGTCCTGCTTTTAGAAGGATTTTGGGCAAGTGAGTACTGAGTGTTTATTCTTTTTAAATTTTAGAATGTCGGAGGCGTCTTAGAACGGTAAGTTGATCTCTTCTTGAAATGGCCAGGTCTGATTTTTCAGAATCAGAATAGTTTTCAAGTTCAACTTTTATTGTCAATACACAACACGTGTACAATGAAATTGAATGAGCCTTCCTTGGTGCAGCCCATTCAAGAACACAGAATACATCTCAATAAATCAATAAATAAAGAAATCCCTAAACCCAAAAAAGTAATAAACTAACACACACTTATTTTGTATGTGAATGAAAGTATAGACAGATAAATAGATATGTATTGAAAGCTGCCTGGTCTTCAGATATACAAAAAAAAATTATAATAATGACATACGGGTACTTCATTTTAATATACTAATTCACCTACAGCAATTGCAACCAATTTGGTTGCAACAAGCCTTGGCAATTGAAGTGAATATGATATGGAGTTAAATGGTTTGGCTAAAGCAGAAGATATATTCAAAGAAAACTATGAATCAGAGTTGGATAGAAGCTTTGATACATATCACTTTATAACTTGGTACAGGACATACGTTACAGGAATAAAAATGATTAATTAAACCTATAGAATTAATATTAGTGCATTAAATCTTCATGATTACATGAATAATTGTGCTCAATTAACATTTGCAAAGATAGCGATACCGTAGTTACAAGTGGAACAGACAGTTGTATTTGCTGTCTTATTTTGGCCCATTTTTGCATATGGCTATGATGAATATTGAAAGTTGGAGTGGCATTTGGTTTCCTAAAACTTATAGCCCCCTTTTTTCTGGTTTCTGCACCCTATTATTGAATTTTGATTCCCAACTGATTCTTACAATATTTTTCATTTTTATCACATGTAGGGAAAAAGTCAGGTTGACTGACCCTTGTTGATCAGGTTTTGTGAGGTGCCACTTTTCATGAAGGCCCCCATGTACACCCATGACAATCCACCAGAATTTAGGATTACAAGATCTGGATTTGAAAACATTTAATTCAGTATTGTTTTCCTAGTTGTGGCTTCTTTTCCTGCTTCATTTCTTCTATACATCAAGGAAATGTATATAGAGAAACACATTTCTCTTCTATCTCTCTGGAGAAATTTATGGATCAGACATACTAAAATTGAGGTCTGTCTTCTACTGTATTTTCCCCAAAATACAACCTAACCTGAAAACAAGACCTAGCCTAATTTTCACACCTGCGCCTAATATAAGCCCTACCTCCAAATAAGCCCTAGTTAAGCCCTGCCCACCATCTGATTGTACGAGATGGGGTGATGTGCAGGCATAAAAATCAAGCTAGGGAAGGTTGTGTGTGTGTGTGTGTGTGTGTGTGTGTGTAGCTTCCCCACGTGCCCTACACCTGCTTACCTTAGTACTGCCACAGCCAGGCCTTCTACACCCCAACAACTGTTGCGCTACTGCCTGATTTACTCTGCGACCTCTTGCAGCTGGACGCCACAGGGTGCATCACAAAGGTGCTGCCGCTCACACGCACATCATACCATGCAGCCTGCTGCGAGCGGTGGCCCCGGTAAAATGAGCCCTGCAGCATCTGGCTCCGAGTGGCCATGGAAGTCAGGTAGTGGCACAACAGGTGTCAGGTCGTAGGAGGCCTGGCTGCAGTGGTCCTAAGGTAAGCGGTTAAGACATCCTGCAAAATTAAGACCTGGTGCTTATTTTGGGGGCCCCAAAGAAAATAAGACTGGGTCTTATTTTCAGGGAAACATGGTAAGTCTAACTCCAGTTTGTCCCTCACTTTTTAAGAAAGCTTCTTGAGAATTACAGGCTGGAAGGACCATTGACTCCTGTCTTATTTCTCTGCAGGTATACGAAAAAGAAGAAATTTGAGAATCCAGTCAGCTTTCCACCAGAGATTAAACATGAAATCTGGGAATTACAGGACTTCAGTGCTTTTCTGCCTGGTGCTGTGAAGCAATTTGAGGGTAATGGAAGGGCTTTGTCATGCTTTAACTCGGTGCCACAATTGGAAAGTCAATCATAGTTTACCAAATGGACTGTACATACTCCCTAGGCTATTGTCCAGTTCATATCTTTCCTCATTAAGAGTAATAACCTCCAAACAATCCATTTCCTCTTGTTTGGGGATGAGACCTTCTGTTGGAAGGGGAGGAGCCTGTTTCGATTGAAGCAGAGAGGAAAATGCATAGAGCCGCTGGTCTCATTCTGAATAATTCATTTACTTTTTTTGGCCCTTAGATGGAGGGAAACTTGTGCTTGTTGGGGAAGGAGAAAGTAAGCCATTCTGATAGCATTGATAATGTTACCTAGTTAGGACGTGAAATGCCTGCAAGAAAACAACCAAGCCCAGAAAGCATCTCATTTCAACCCTGAGTTACAGATATTCTCCTTTATGTCAGGGTTCCAAGTAACACCCCCAACAAAAGAAGACTTGAGGCTAAGCATTACTCAAAAGTTCCATTTTATTAGAGATGTCATATGGGCACATCTAGGAAAACCCAAATCCGAAAGCTTCCAGGTTTTCCCTACCCAAAAGAAAGTCCCAGTCCTACCTAGCACCCACAGGTCCATCACATGCTCCAATCAATGCACTGTCCTAACTGGAGATACTTTCCAGTCACACCCCTCCAGGTGCAGGGCAGTATGGCCCTGACTCTCGGAGAATGTTATTTTGACTATACATCTCCCCAGCTCCCTACAATCCCCCCTCCCAGTTCCCCACAGCACTATAAATGTGGCAGGCCTGAAGATTTAATGCTCAGGATGGCTTCCAGGTCTGACAGTTATCTAGTTAGGAACATGAAACATCTGCAAGAAAACATCCAAGCTTAGAGAGCACCAAGGTCCTCTCATTTCAAGCAGAATGTGCCTTATGCACCTTTGGCTCACAACATTACACAATCTCTACCCCTTTATGTTTGTAAATAACAGCATGGCAGCAAATGTTTTTCATTCAATAGATGTGATACAGGGGTGAAATCAACTTACCTTAGCTACCGATTTGCAAATATGAGCGCACGGGCCACCTCCGCATATGCACAGGACTTTCCGTGCATGCACAGAATGTCAAAAACGGGGCAGGATGACATCCAGATGGGTGGGCGGAGCCTCCCGCCACCACCACTACCGGTTCGCCCGAACCGGATAGAACCGGCTGAATTGCACCCACTGGTTTGATGGGTGACCGTCTACTTATCCTGTCCTATTAGGTCAGATTGGCAGCTCTGTTATCTTTGAGATATGATCATGAATATGAACAACGTGGTTTACTGGGCCACTGGGCCCTTTCTGATTCTTCACTATGTTGCCACTCAAGATTAATTCAGTTTTTTGTGAATGTTTTGTTACAGGGACACTTTAAATTATTGGAAGTGGCCATCTGCTAGGATTGGTAGTGAATGTAGTTCCTGTGTATGGAACAAGGCAGCAACTTTTAGTACCACACTGGTGTGGCCAGTGTGAGATAGTAGTGAAGATGCTGGACTCAAAATGGGTCCATAGAAGGTCCCAGAATGATTTTGGGTCAATGTTGATGTCAGCATTCCAAATGTCATCCAAAATTAAATCAGAGTCCAAGGCAAAGCATTGCTCTAAGTTCCAATTTATTAAGAGAGACATGTTGGCACATCTGTGGAAAACTCAAATTTGAAAGCTTCCAAGGGGTTTGCACCCATTTGAAAGTTCATGATCTTGCCCCCACACCCACAAGTCCATCACATGGTCCAATCTTCCACTGCCACGCTGGCATTTCCACCCATCTAGTTCTGGTCAGGTGCAGAGGTGCGGAGGCAAAGAATGACTTTGGGCTTCTAGAAAGGAATGTTTTATTTTGACGACAACACATTCTACTTAC